TGAAAAGGGGAAAATAAATGTGTTCCCACAGTGTTTACAGTCTGGTGATAAGGCTCCTGCCCAACTCCTTGTCAGGTGACTAGTTTAGTGGCTTTTTGATTTGGGGTGGTTTTTTTTTTTTTTTTTGTATTTATTTATTGGGGATTGAACCCAGGGCCTTTACACTGAGCTACACCTCCAGCCCTTTTTATTTTTTATTTTGAGACAGGGTCTCACTACACACCCAGGCTGGGTTTGCAGTTGGGTTCCTTCTGCCTCAGCTTCCCAGAGTGGTGGTAAGACAGGACTGCAAAACCACAGCCAGATCTCCAGAGGCTCGTTGGCGTCCCCAGCTGCAGGATGGGCAAACACTCCCACCACTTCAGAGACAAACACTGTGAATTTGAAGAGCCTGGAAACTGAGGTCCTTTCTGCCCTTGGAGTTGGTGGCCGATTTGTCACCAGGTGGGGTAGGGTGTGAGGTCCCACTGCACCACCCCCCAGCAAGGGAGAAGTGTGGCCTGCCTTGGGAAAACCAAGAGCCCTGGGTTCTTCTTCTACTTTTTTTTTTTTTTTTTTTGTCTTTTTTTATCCAAAAATTTTTTTCCGGTACCGGGAATCAAACTCAGGACCTTGTGCTTGCCAGGCAGGTGCTTGTGCCGCTAAGCTATATCCCCGGCCCCTTATTTTTTGTCTTTTTAAGACAGGGTCTCGCTATGCAGTCCAGGCTGGCCTTGAGCTCACTTTGTAGCTTAGGCTGTTCTCAAACTCACAACAATCCTCCTGCCTCAGCCTCCCGAGTGCTGGGATTCCGGGCGTGTGCCATCATGCCTGGCCGAGCCTGGGTTCTTTGTCATGCCAGTTAGTCATTCAATCAACAAGCACTTAACTGTGTGCGGTGGCGCAGACCTGTAATCCCAGCACTAGGGAGGCTGAGGCAGGAGGATCACTGCGAGTTCAAGGCCACCCTGGTCTACATAGTGAATTCAAAACTAGATCAATCTACGCAAGACCCTGCAGGGTGTTATGTGCAGCTCCGGCCACACGGTGGCGACAGAGCACGGACTTTCAGGTACTTTGGGTTGGGCGGGGCCTTTAGGTCCTAGGGCAAAGCCTCTAGGCGCTGGGAGAATGAGGCGCTCAGCACCAATAAGCATCAGTGAGATTAATCCTGGTGTGTGCCCCGAAACCCCCGCTGTGACTTAGGAACCCCACTCTGGCTTAGAACTTAGAACCAATGGGTCCCTCTCTCTGCTGCCTCCCTTCCCAGAGAAATATCACTCTTAGCAAATGAAAATTTATCACGTCTGAGCACATGCGATGCCACACACCTGTCATCTGAGCTACTCAGGAGGCTGAAGCAGGAGGATCCCAAGATCGAGAGCAGCCTGAGCAACTAGGTGAGATTCTGGTTCAAAATACAGAAACAGGGCCGGGAGTGTAGTTCAGCGGTGAGCACATGCCTATCATCTGGGAGGCCCTGGGTTCAATCCCCAGCTCTGCAAAAATGGAGAAGGAAGAGAGAATACACAACGTCCCATTACATTTGAATTTCAGATGAACAATAAAGCATTGTTTAGCAGAAGAATATCCCATGCCATGTTGGGAACGTACCAGGGGTTGAACCCAGGACCCCCCGGACCACTGAGCACCACCTCCAGCCCTTTTTAGTTACTGTTTTGAGACAGGGTTTTGCTAAATCAGTAAGTTGCCCTGGCTGGGCTCCAGTTTGAGATCTTCCTGGCTCAGCCTCCCTCAGTGCTGTGAGGACAGGAATGTGTCACAACACTTGACTTCATCTTGGTATTCCTTGTTTTTAAAATACAGGTTCTCTCATTGGTCTTGAACTCAATATACAGCCCAGGCTGGCCTTGAACTTGCAGTGATCCACCTGCCTCAGCCTCCTGAGTGCTGGGATTACAGACATGAGCCACCATGCCCGGCTCTTTGTCTTCCTTTTCTTTTTAAATCGTCTCCACTACATGTAGCTTTAAAAGTATTTCAAAGTGTGCATAGCAAGAATAGTTTCCCTGGCTGCTCTCCGTTTCTTGCCTGTGGCTATTTACGATTCAAACTCAAAAAAATAAAAATTTCAGCTTCCCAATTGTACTATCCCAGCTGGGGGCTTGATCCTTGTGTGTGCCTGAGGGGCCTGTGTGTGGCACATCCCCGTCACTGAAGAGAGTTCTGTTGGGCAACGCTGGGCTGGAACATTCTGGAAGAGTCTAGAAAGAGCCAACAGAGTAGTCACCAGCCGCATGCGGACTCAGATTCTGTCAGCCGCTGAAGTCAGCACAGGCTGACGTGGTCGTTGAGGGCTGAGGTGTGCTGCGGCACAAGCAGGAAATTTCATCACACACCTGTGCAGGGGACCCCTCGTGAGACCAAAGGAGCCTAAGGTTAAACCCACTCCTCTTTCCAAATTCCACCCTTGTCTCCTGGGACAGGCCCTGGGATCCCCCCTCCAGGGCGCCGCCATGTCATCTCCCTCTGCCATGTCCAGTCAGCCAATGGAACATGCGGTGCAGGCTGCACCCATCTCTTCTGCTCTATGCTTCAAATTCATCCATCTGCCCCATCCACCCCCCACCCATCCATTCACCCACTCACCCACGCACCCATCCCTCCATCCCTGCATCATCCATCCATCCACCCATCCATCCATCCATCCATCTATCCATCCACCCACCCACCCATCCATCCATCCATCATCCATCCATCCACCCATCCCTCCA